AGATTAGTGAGTTCTCATGATTCAAGGACATTGCCACTATTTATATTTTATTTCTTTCATGTGATTTCAATTTCAGACTTCTTTTATGAGCAAGAGGTTTGTTCTAGTCACACCTATGATATAGAGGCTTGGTGCCAGACTTAGTATGCTTTCTCTTATGAGATTGTTGTACTCTAATTTTGGTATCGTATGTCATTGAAGTATTGAGACTTATATCCAGATTTACCTCTTTATTTCTTTATCTTGTCTATCTTAGTGTCATGCTTATGCCAAGTGGCTTGTTTAGAATCTCTTGGGATCCTATTCGCCAGGTCTTTGGGTCATGACAGTAACTTAGTGATTTAGACCTCTATAGGAGACTCAAAGACTGAGTAGAGAGTTCGAAACAAGTATTTTTGGTGCTTGTCACATTCATTTTATGTCGTTATGTATTGTAATGAAAAAAATATGTTGTGGAATGGGGTTCCCATTATAGGGGCCTTTGTTGCATTGGTTGGGTATTTCTCTACAATGAGACCATTGTAGCAAGTTTTAGCTCGCCATAACGAGAGTAGATTCAAGTGTCAGGGATCACCATAATGAGTCCTCTGTAGAAAAGGTGATGATCGTTGTAGAAGATGACACGAGATAGAATGTACGTTTTAAGTTAATTTTATCCAAGTCCTTCCTCATAACTTAAAATATTCGAACCAGATATTCAATGGGTATTTTTTCTAGGTCTAAGGCTATTTCCATTTTTGAGGTAAGTCTTCTCTGTCAACCATTTCATCTAGTAATTCGATATCATCCTAAATTCAAAGGGATATTCTTAATGGAGAGATTATGGATTAGAACCCTGAAACTCATGAATTTTGTGAGGAAGCATATGGGTTGATGTGATTAGAGGTTATATTGATTTTAAGTTGTTAATTTATACTTCTTAGCATGAAATTAATAATCTAGTTATTGTTCATGATGTTGTGGGACCTAGAATCCCATAAAATGATTCCTTAGGCATAAAAACTGCTCTTAGGGGGTGAATGAAGTAGAAACTCCATTTGTTAGGCTATTGTTATGATGGAAAAACTATTGTATGATAATATAACCCTTCGATAATGAATTATACCTTGATAGAGGTTAGAATTAAATGAGTTTTGAATGGTCAAGGTTATTGTTTGAAGAAAAGATGATGAAATATTGTTCTATTTATTAGTTTTAGATTTTGAGGAAAGAAAGGCTCACATGAAGTATCTTTCTTGTCTAAGTGTTTGGTTGAGGTAGGCTACATTTTATCTAGAGTTATACTTTGATTAGTCTCGTGTGTGTTGTGAATCTATAGAGCATATTGATTGGTCTTTAGATGTAGTTTGTGATTAATTTCAGTTGGGTTGATAATGCTTGTATAAATAAGATGAAAATTATTGAAACTTGTATTTAATGACTTGTGTTTGTAATATGTACTTGTGATATTCATTATACTTGTTGTGTTGTCCTGAGAGATAAGGAACAAAGAGCAAGTTGAGATAATAATAAAGCATGCATGGTTCTAACAATGAGTGGCTCGAGTCTAATGTAAGCTACTATATAAGCAATGATATGATGGATCGAGTACCACACAAATATGGTATATATTGATGATGAGTGGCTTGTGTTCGATGTGAGCCTACATACGAGTAGTTAGGTGATGGATTGGGTATCATGCTAGTACGGTACATAGACACCTAGGGTCTCCTGCATGTCATAATTACTAGTAAGATAAAATTAAAGTCACTTTAGCAGATGTGTACATATGAGTGATTAAATGAGTGACAGATGAGACTAATTTGATACAAAGGCTATACAACTGTGAAATCATTGTGGATATGTTTGTTAGGATTACATGTGACTATTTCTATTGCACAGAGTTTTATGATGTCATTTTATATATTATGGTGACTTATGTGTCTCGTAATTGATGACATTGATATGTCTGGAATGAGTCTATTTATTTGGCTTATAATAATATTTTGATTTGTTGAGTTTAATTGTATCTGTCTACCTATTTTATGACTTGTCTTTTTATATACTTGTTACTAATTTTAGTCGGCCTATGATGTCTATCAATACATAGTATTTGTAGTGGTGGTACTCCTCCACTTTTCTTTTGAGTGCAGACTATAATCAAGAATTGTCTATCTGACCTCAACTTTAGCGCAATTATAGTATTTCAGATCTGAGGGTGAGCTACTCCATTTAGGCTGCCATAGATCTTTTAATCACTGATATATACTCCATTCAAACATTGTTCATTTATCTATCTAGTTTTATGACTATTCTTAGATATTTTAGTTATTATGATTGAACCTCTCATTTCTTGCTTAAAAGCTTTTAAATAATGATTAATGACTTAGTTACAACATGTTTTAGTTGGTCAGATATTATCATCGAGGGATTAGTGCGTGTGTCAATCACAAGGGGTTTGAATTGTGACAAGATTAATATTAGAGTCTTAGATTTGTCAATCTCATTGTATAAAGATATGTCTAGTAGAGTCGAATGGTATAAAGATGTTTGTACTGCTCTTCGAGAGGCTACACGGCAATAGGAAAACTCATTTCTTTTTCTTTCTACATGTAGTTACTTGGTATCTAGTGATCCAAATTAGCTTCCGGCTCTTTCATTCTTTTCTCTCTCAAATGGTGAGGAAACTTTCAGGAGAAGCCAGAGTTGAGGCACCCCAAGTAAGCCATTTGGTTGTAACTCACAATAAACGATGAGCTAGAGATGCAGTGACTCCAGCCAGGCCCATGCCCATGCCCATGCCCGAACTTCTGATCAAGTGCGAGACAGATCGATCCAAGTCCCAAGCACCTTAAGAGACTCCCAATATGGAAGCAAATGAGTTAGAGGCATCACCTCAGGATACTTGGGCAAAGGTTCCAACTATTGGGTCGTAGTCATGTATAATTTCTTAGTTGTGTTCCCCATGAATTTACATGACATACCATCATATCGAGATATTGACTTTAATATCGATTTAGAGCTAGGGATTCGCCCCATGCTATTCTACCTTATCAAATGGCACCAGCTGAATCGAGGGAATTAAAGGTTCAATACAAAATTTTCTTGGTAAGAGATTTATCCATCCGAGTGCCTCTTCATAGGTATCTCCTGTATTGTTTGTAAAACACTTTATGAACTTGTTGAAATCATTAAATCACAAATATAACGCCGTCTTGATCAAAAGTTGACCATGGTCAAACTTATTCTTTTTACTTAACTAGAAACTGATCCAAGGGCCCAAATCACACTCGGGCCCCACGAGATCTGTCCACATCTATCCCAATCAAAAATCACCTTTTGGACACTAACAAAATTATCGAAACTTTATTTGAGCTCTTCTTACTCAAATATTGGCTTTAATCAAACTCATCAACTTTTCAAGCCGAAAAACTCTTTTGAAACCTATCCAACTACCTTAGATCTATATCACCCATTTCCAAAGATCACAAATACCACATTTAAGCTACGAAAAGTGATTAATTAAGACATAAACACAAAATTATAAAGTGTCTATGAGGATCATTACAAATAACCCCAATTTACTAAAGGGTTATGTAATAATCCCAATTTACTGAAGTGTTATTTAGTTTTTGATCAAAAGATAAAAAAAAAAGAAAAAGGAGTACAAGAGAAAAAGGGCTGAAATATTGGTTTTAAAATAGAAAAAACCACAGAGAAAGAAAAGAAAAAGAAAAAAAAAAGAGCATAAAAGGAAGGGAAAAATATGGATTTCAATCTGAATCAAGAAGATAATGTCTCTAAGCTTTTATTTTGAGTTTAATACGTGAATATGAATAGATTTTTATGCTAGAAATATGGAGAAATTGTGACGTATTAAGATTATCTAACCTATGGTTCTCCGATCCAAATCATTGATTTAAAAGAAAAATCGTATTATTAGAATTTATTTTTGATTAATGTTCTGATATTCGCCTGCCAAGAATAGTGGGTTGATGGTCATGGACTCATGGTACGAAAATTCTATCTTGTTAACCTGAGCTGAGTTTTCAGATCTAGGGATGGCAATGTGGAGGGGAGGATGCGGGGCAGGGTGGGTTTAAGGCTATGCGGAGCAGGTTTAAGGTTGTGCGGGGCGGATTGAAGTGGGTTTTTTAAAAATTAATGTGGGCCGGGGGGTGGGGGTGGGTTGCGGGTATATGTGATTTCATGTGAGTTCAAATTTAATTTTAACTTTTTACATGTTATACGAGTGATAGAACATTATTTATCAAAATAATTTCTTTAAAACTATTAAAATATTCAAGATAATAAATGAAAATGGTTCAATTAAAAATAATATTATTTCTTACATGTTTTCAATTGACCTCTAAAAAATAAAATTTTAAGTCACTATCCTATTAAATTAATATAACTTAATGAAAAAATGAATTTATTTTTATATATTTTATTTTTATTATCAAACTTAACTAGAACAAGAAAATATTTAAAAGTTATGCAGGGCGGGTTGAAAATGAAAAAAAAGTTGTTATGGGGGGCGGATTAAAAATTATGCGGGTTAAACTCAACCCGCCCCCGCACCGCCCCATTGCCATCCCTATTCAGATCAACCTTTTACAACGAGTTTGACTTGAGTTAAATTTTTAAAAAATATTTATTGAAATAATTTTGACTTTCTTTGAACTGAGGACATATATATTCTAGTAATCATACTCACTTTTATATATAGGGATTAATTAATTATCTTTATTAAGAAAACTGCTCGGATGGTAAGCATCCTGGTCAATTCTCGCTTCCAATCTTAAGATTGTAAGCTCGAGTCATCAAGGGAGCAAAAAGGTGAGAGCTCCTGGGGAGAGGTAAAAAAAGAACATGTTAAAATATATTATTTGAGACAAATTACTCCATGTAATTGGTAACCAACACACATTTATTCATTATCAAGTTACACAGACTAATTAAGTACTCAATATTGAGGTAATATTACAGAGAACTATAACACTCAACTTTTCATTCTTTGTTTTTTTTTTTCCCTCTCTAGACATGGTAGAAAATCAATGTCAAAACACCAGCTAATTGATTTCTTGTTTGACATTCTTTCGTTGTTAGGCAAGTACCTGCGCATAAATAAAATCAAAATAAGAGATGATAATATCCTATATATATATATTGAAAATTTGTAAGTTACACAATATAACTATTAAAATTCAAAAATGACAAAATGTGACAACGTAAAACTTACTTTATATAACGATATACATACATGCGGTGTAACTTGCTCAACATTTTGGAATTTCACCACACTTGGTTCGTAGTATTGCAAAAATTCACTTAATATGTAATATTCAGAATCTTGACTTAATCACCAAACATATTTTTATAATAATAAAAATTTCATAACATATTTAAGACTATTTTTAATATATACGAAATATCTTTTCCTAAACATCATTACATAAAATTAAACAATAATATAGTACATATGGTGTAATATAATTAACTTACTTTAGCACATTGGAATAACAGGACAGTTAATTAGATCAGTAACGAAAATCTGTCCAAACAAAGAAGACCAGCAGAATTCCTCATTGTGTACAGCAGCACTTAGTGCTTTGCAACAATTTTGTTTTTCAATAGGGCCAGCATTACAGTGAACTAAAGCTGCCTGCAATAAGAGTATCAAATTAATCTGAAGTCAGTATTTTTAACGTGAAGTACGTATAAAATTCATAAAAATTATAATAAAAGCTATTTTTCATGTTTCTTTTTTAATCTATTTTAAAAAGAATGTCACTTTTTACACTCTCTTTATTGTTAAATAAGTGGTTGTTTTAGCTTATGCGCACCACTAAAAAAATTATTTATTTCTAGAAAATGAAATGTATTTTTACTTACTCTTCATAAATACCTTGAAAAAATATAGCTATGGAGTAGTTTCTTGGTTATGTAAAATTTTCTTTATTTAAAAAAGGATAAAATTAAAATAACATCATTAATATCATTAAAACATTAATTATTTTGAAACAAAATGAAAAAGCTAAAATAACACTGATTTAGGAACGGAGGGAGTATTTAAAACTCCTTATAACCTCCAACATCCTACGTAATATATTTAAGATCACAAATTCAAAAAAAAAATATATTATACATTTTACATATTTTTAATTTAAGACCAACAAATTTAAAACTCTTCTTTATTTAACTTAAAACAAATAGATTAAAAAAGAAAAATTAATAAATGTAAATTTATAACTTAAAATATATAAAGTTTAAATTCTAAATCCATGTGCCTACCTCAAAGGGGTCAATACCTCCATACCCTGCCTGTGCAAAAGCTTCATGTATATAACTAGAAGCTAAAATAACACTAACCAACAAAATGGTTAAACTCAAGCCCTTAATATTTGTCATCTCTTCTAATTGAACTTTCTTTTTCTTTCTTCTTCTAAGGTTTAAGACTTTAAATTCATGATATGTACTAGTTGTATATATATACAAATAATGAGAGGAAAGAAGAGAGTTGATGAAATGAGGAAGCAATTAATGCATGCATAGATCTCAAGAAGGGGTTGACAATTTTATAAACTTTTATTTATTGGTTAAAGAATGATGCAGGAATTTGTAGCAAGTATTGAGGTTTATTAAATGGAAAATATTGGATCTAAGTTATATATAAAGATTGTTTATTCGATTTGTGTAGGTAGTTTAAGAAAAGAAAGAAAAAAAATTAATCTATGATTTGCGAGCTATTATATAGAAGTGAGAGTTATATCCTGTACATACATATAGTGACGGTGAGTTTTTCTTGTTATTAAAAAAAATGAAAGATTTTTATAAAAACTTCTGGTTCTAAAGTAAGTTGTTTAAAGCTAATTGTTACTTTTTCTATCTACTTTTTACTTGTTCACACTTTACTATATTAAATATAGATGTGCACTTACTTATCCAGTTTGAAAAACAAGACCAAACTTATAACTTAGTTTCTAATTTATCTTTATTATTAACTTATATTAAATATTAGTAATATATTTTTTAAAATATTAAATTTATTATATTTAAAGAGTAATATAGTAAAATTATCATTCTATTTATTGTACCTTAGGTAGTGTACCAAGTCAATAAAGAGGAAAAATTGCATAGTGGAAGTACCAAATATAAGAAGTATATATTTTTTGAGACAGACTATAAAGAGAAGAGTATTACATATGTTATTATAAAGTTACCAATTAAGGCATATCATAAATTTTCTTAAAATTACCCTATAAATAATCTTATTATGTAAATAGATATGTGCATAGATATTAGAGTAAGATTAAATATTATACTTCAAATTCTAAGAGAGTGAACGTTGTAGCTTCCTTAACGGATTGGCAAGATTTATGCTTAGCTTCCACTTTATGAGTATTTAATTATGGCTAGATTGGATCAATGGATCTTGTCTCCTAGAGTGTCTTAGTTGACTTATATTGTTGAAATATAAGTTCTTTATATATCGGTACAAAAAATAATAAAAATATTTGTGATGGTTATTTGTGACTATTACATAAATTTTGAATCGAGACCCAAATAATTCGAACGTGCTTCAAACAAGTTTGAACTAAACTTTATGATATGATATATGATATTTGTGATCGCAAGATTTAAATTATACGTGATCGTAGAGGAATAGCACCTTACAAAAGATTGTGTATGTGGAATATTATCGGTGATAGTAAAGCAACAAATGTACAAAAAAGAATTTTTTCTTGTATAAAATGTTATGGGTTGCGAGGTGTGTGAAGTGTGCTACATTGCTCTACATTGCTCTTTAAGAGATGAGTGTCTGTTTGATATAATTCGGATAATTCTTACTTCTAGATATAGTTTTTATGATTAAGTTAGGTTCAAAATTTAATTTTTAAAATGTATTATTAACTCTGTTGATTATTAAACTTTTATTGATTTTTCGAGCTAATGAAATATGTTCTTAAACATACATTGAGAATGTGTAGCACACTTGTGTTATAGTTTGTTCGTTGGATCATAGATAAGACACCAAAACCAATTTATCCCTTCAATTTTGGGAAATGATAGTCATTTGTTTAGAAGCTTGGCTAAACAAACTTTAATTTTTGTATAATTTGAAGAAAAATATTACTAATTCCACTTTAAATAAGGGGTGATGTGTTGTGATGACATTTTATGACAAGCAGTTATGATTAAGTGGGTGAATATTTTTTTTTAGACGGTCATTATAGTATGTGTATAATCTAGGTATATAAATTATACATTAGTTATACATATAATATATTGAATATATGTTGACAATGTCTACAAACCGTTAGGATTAAGTGAGTGAATTTCTTTAGCTACCTGCCTATAAATGTTAAGATTATTTTTTTTGAAAAAGTGCGTAGATACACCAATTAAGATATCATAATCTCTAAAATTTTCTATCATTTAAATTTTTTATAAAAGTTTCATCTCGGATACATCACTCCCATTAAGTAATGTATCACTTGCAATGTACTGGACAACCAAAAAATGTATCTGAAAGCAATGAAAAATTTGAAATTTTTGTAATTGGAAAAACTTTCGGGATATGATGTAATTAATCCCAAATGTATGACATTTCTGTAAGTTTTCCAAAAAAAGGACAAATTACTTAACTACACTTCTTTACTTACCTTAATAGCCATTTATCCCTACTTATTTCAAAAATTTCAAAAATCCCTTATTTACCTATGTATCCCGCATGTATCCCGTGCACAACGCTATGTATCCCGCATGTATCTCGTGCACAACGCTATGTATCCCACATGTATCTCGTGCACAACGCTATGTATCCCGTTATGTGGAATGTATCAAACCTAATGTATCCCGTGCACAACACTATGTATCCCGCAAATATCATTTTTAAGGGGTTTTTGATAAATAGAAAACTAGAAAGGATATGATGTTATTTAGTACTTATAATATTGGTTCCTATAATTTATACATATTTAAATCCAATTTAAATCTTCTTTGATAAATTGGGCTCAAATGTAAAATCCGTATAAAACTATGCTTGGGCCTAAAATTAGACTAATCCAAAAAGGGTGATTTGCACAACACAAATAGGATATTTTTAGGGGAAACTAAGCAAATATTCCATAAAAACAAAATAATTATAAACATATATCCCTTTACATTTATATCCACTAAATAATTACATTATATATCCCTCAATTAATTTCGCTTAACTGATACTAAGTTGATATCGTATACTGTATTGGTATCATTTAGGTTTATAATTTTGTTTAGTTGATACTAAATCAATATACATATAAAGTATTGGTATCATTAAGATTTTTTTGTTCAGAAATTACTCATTAATCAATGGTACTATAAGAGTATATATATATTCTTATAGTACCATTGACTAACGAGTAATTTCTGAATGATACTATAGGAGTATATATATACTCTTATAGTACCATTGACTAACGAGTAATTTATGAACAAGAAACATTAATGACACCACAACAATATACATATACTCTTATAGTATCATTGAGTAATGAGTAATTTCTGAACAAGTAACCTTAATGATACCAATACAGTATATATATATACACACACTGATTTAGTATTAGTTAAGTGAAATTATCAGTATATGATATTGGTTTAATATCAATTAAGCAAAAATTATATCCCTTAATGAATGGAGATATGAATTGTAATATTTTTTTTAAAAATGAGTATTTCTCGAATTGCTTTAAATTAGAGTATCAATATATAATTATTTTGAGTTTATGACACATTTATATAATTTTCCAAAAAAAAAATAGCTTTCTGTTTTGTCATGGTTGATCGTGACACGCAAGCATAACTTGCACAGTTGAGAAACACGTAGGAATATTCATATTCCTTGAGCATATGCATTCCTATTCTGTGAATAACTTGCATATCCATTAATACTCCCTCTTCCATTTTAATTTATTTGACTGATTTTAATTTGACATAAATAACAAAAAAGATTGAATCTTATGATTTAAATTAAAGATATACTGACTGTATGAATGAACAATATGATACGATGATGAAAAGTTTAGTTCGGTAATTTCGGTTTTAAAAATGTTATACCATTATCATACCATATTAATTTAGTATGGTTCGGTATTTTGAAGTTAAGTTTCGATATTTTGCGTGTACGGTAAATCGATTTCCATAATTTAGTCAACTTCAACTTATATATATTCATATAATAATTAACTATGACTTTGGCTTTTCAAGAAACGTCTCAATTATATCATACTACTACTTTGCACATGTAAAAATATTCGAAGTACAAACAATTCTCTTATTGATCAATCACTCAAAAAGAACATTTAAATCAAGATAGATTAGTCAAAATTTCAACATCTAACTAATTAGTTATTATTTTGTATATCTGCTAGTATTATATAGCTACATATACATGAATATTATATGTAACTATATACTTCGGTACAGTATTTGATATATTGATATTTTTTTTTATATATACCAAATACCGTATTGAATATCAAACTTTTTGAAACATGCATACCAAATACCATAATATCCAAACCGCGTTGTCAAAAAATTCGGGCTCCATATGTTATTTGGTATCTACCTTACCACGCCCACCCCTAGTTGAATGTATCACAATACTCTTTAATCTTGTCGTCTTAAACATGTCATGTGAAAAATTGAAATTATCGAGTTGTCGAAAAAGGAAAGAGACACTACATTTTTAACGGACTATAAAGAAAGTAACACAAACAAATTGATATGGATGGAGTAACTTACAGGGGTCATCTTTGGGTACAATGAATGAACTAATACTCAAACCTATGTTGTTTGGACACTTCAACTATGTCAATGGGTGCAAGTCGGATTCTCCAAAAGTAGTGTGTTTTTGGAGAATCCGACACGAGTGCGGCAACGAAAGTGAAGAGTCCGTCCAACTTAGACTCAAACAACTAATTTAGGCCTGTACAATGGAGGATCTTCACCAAGCAAAAGTGATTTCAAGACAGCTTCACACACAACAGTATCATACACAAGCAAGTGCCCACCATCAGGAACTTCATGATACTGAATCCAAGGGAGTGTTTTCGAGACGTGTCTTTGTAATTGAACCGGCACAACCTTGTCCTCGTAACCTTGCCATATGTGAACAGAGCTTTCGTTTTGTGGATACGGGTTACTTAGCTCCAGTGGATCAAAATCCCACTTGCTAAATGCCACAATGAAGTCACGACGTAGGGAGTCGAATACCCTTCGTTTCCTTATCCCGTCCTGTCAATAGACATAAAATGTGTCACAAACCAGAAACCCGAATAGTTCCTATACTACTAGTGCTACACATTATTATGAAATCGAATCCCCTTGAGATATTTCTTATTTCTCATCGATTACTTCAAGAAGCAACCATTGGTAAAGCTCATGCAAGTGGCCAACATAGGCTTAACTGATTACCGAGTCAACTTGAACAAGTATAACTAACCAAATTTCCATTAAGAAAGTTGGTTGTGTGAGTACATTATTTCCTTTTCTCTATTTGGGTATAGCTGATGAAGTTTTACCTGAGTGAACAATTGATATCCGTCTGTATTCTTCAAGACGGCCAAGTCTTTGTCACAAAAAAATTTAGGATTTCCTTCAAGAACAGTAGCTGATGGGAACATTTTTTGAGTGAACCACCAATGTAATAGCCCCGGAGTACAACATGTGAGCAAAAGCATAAGCCGGCAGAGTTGTTTCCTGTAATCATCCTTCGTGAGATCATCAGGTAGCGAGCGCCATTTGTAATTGATAAACGGGACTATTAATGCCACTCCTGCAAGCCTGCAGCAGCATATTTTCAATCCTAAACAATTGACAACAAAGGCAAGAAATCTAGAATTTATTTGAAGTGAGTTTTGCTATACTTTTGAGGAATGCGTTTGATGCAGCTCCAAGCAGGGTAACATCCCAACGACACGCCAATAACATAATACTTAGATCCTAATTGCAATTGATCAGCTAACTCTTCGATATCAGATGCTTCACTTTTAACAGATCGTTTTGGATTTGGATCACTCTCTCCGTATCCAGCTCTGTCGTATATCAGAAGGTATATCCCCATTCCATCTAGGAGTTTCTGAGAACTAAAGTATTATTAGAACATTCTCAACAGTATTATGCAAATTCAATAATGTCATTTCTTCAAGAGAAAACAGAAAGAAAATGACTTCCTGGCTTCCTGCTAGAAATTTTACAAATGCTAAACAACACCAGAAACTTTAATGTGATTGCGTATCCATAAGAAAAATTTAGGGGGTCGGCCGCGTGGCTTCAATGAGTTTTATTGAAATGATGATCTTTGAAGATATGATTTTCTCGTTTGGATTATATGTCAGCAAATTGACTAAAGCAATAATCAAGCCGGTCAACCTTGTATCGAGGGGGGTAGGGAATCGATTAACTACAGTTCAATCTCAAACTAATTGAGATCAGCAAGGGATGCAACACGAGGACTTCTTAGCATCTTACCCATCCTATTACTACTCTCGTCCAAGAATGCTAAACTTTGGAGTACTCATGGGACCATTGCATTACTGGTGTGGTGACATCCTTTGCGTCAACCAACATTTTGAATAATTTCTTGGGATACGGCATACACACTCAAACTAGGGTATAACTGTCAGCTACAAACTTAAACTGTGTCAGTGTCCTATCACCCCTCTAAACTTATTTTTTTCATATTATTCACCCAATTGTCAACACTAAATCAGTTTGATACATAACTAACCTTTTTCAGAAAATAGTGATTTCAAATTTCAAAGATATAGGCACCTAAGGGTGTCACCTAGTGGTCAATGAAGTGGTTGAGAGCCATGCGATCGGTCTCAACTTCAATTCCCAATAGAGACAAAAACACTAGGTGATTCTTTTCATTTATTTTAATCTTGATAAACAGAGTTACCTAATACCTGCTGCTAGTGGGAGATGACAGATATCCCATGGAACTAGTCGAGGTGTGTGAAAGCTGACTCAAATACCACAGTCAAAAACAAAAAAAGATTCTCAAAGAGACAGAGAGAGTTATTTGTGTTTACATCAGAAGCCATAAAGCTCATTTCTTTGGAGCTGCCAAATCCATGAACAAGAATGATGCTGTATTTGCACTTGTTCTTGGGTACTCCTCTTTCTCTGTAAGCCAGGTACCTCCCATCACTAAGTCTGACTCTAAGAGTAGTAATAGCAGATTCATCTACAACTGATGACTTGGATTCCATATTATTATTAGCATTTTGTTCTGTTGTCTGATCAGCACATCCTAGACAGCCCATCATCAAAACAAGAATTCTTCTGAATACCATCTTCTGAAAAAAAAAAAAATCAAAAAATATTGGTGTGTCAAATTCTACTTCAAAATTACAACAACATACGCTGTGTAGTCTCACAAAGTGGGGTCCGATGAGCATAGAGTGTAGCAAAATTTACCGTACCACAGAGGTATATAGCCTATAAAAAGTAACGAAAGTACAATAAACAATAGATAGTAACAGAAATCGAACAACAAGAATCAAGACTTCAAAATTGACCTCAGCAAATCAATCCAGCTAATGGGGTTATCTTGAAATTACCGAATTCTGCTACATGTATGCTCCTCAGTCCCTTGGCTCAACAGTCGAGAAACAGAAGTAGCAGAAGTACAAGCAACAACAAATACTAACATAAATCGAAAAACAAGAATGAAGACTTCAAAATTGACCTCAGCAAATCAATTCAACACTCTATGCTCCTCAGTTCCTTGGCTCAACCATCGAGAAAAAGAAGTAACAGAAGTACAAGCAAAAAATGACACAAACAGAAATCCAACACAAGAATCAAGATTACAAAATTGACCTCAGCAAATCAATTCAGCTAATGAGGTTGTCTTGAAATTACCAAATTCTGCTACACTCTATGCTCGTCAGACCATTGGCTCAACAGTGAAAAAAAAAGTAACAGATAGTAACAGAAATCGAACAACAACAATTAAGACATCAAAACTTGACCTCAGCCAATCAATTCAGCTAATGGGGTTATCTTAAACTTACCAAAGAACAGAACTTCTCTAAAGAATCAAGATTTACAACTACTTCAAGCCTTGGGTACTCATTAGATTCTTGAAAATCCAAAATTGAATCTTTTTACCTTCAGAAAAATAAAAAATCTTGGTTTGTCAAATTCCACATACAAATTGAGTTTCAGCAAAGTAATTCAATAAATGGGGTTGACTTAAACTTGCCAAAGAACAAAACTTTCTCTGTAGAATCAAGATTTACATTCTTGAAAATCCCAAAATTGAATCTTTTACCTTTCTTTTTTTCTATAAATGGAAATTGGGTTCTTGAAAGTTGTCTTTTTGCTGGACAATGGTGACAGGATCAACTTAGACCATGTGCAAATACAGGTAATTTGCATTTGAATGTTTTAATATGGCCTTGTCTTTACAAGTTTAAATTTTTGTTTTTCATTCTAGTTTTTTTTTTTTGGGTCCAGTTATAATATATGAGTGTTTTTTTTTTTTAAGTTAATAGTATGTGACTATTAGAAACAAGTTTTTAACCTAAAAAATATCCTAAAGTATATTCCAAAACTTAAATGAGTGAAAATTAGTCTCTTTTTTTTGTTTTCATATTTTTCAATATTTTAGTTTAAAATTGAATTCTACCGCTAACTTTAGACTTTAAAGTTTAGACCATCTCCAACTCACCTCTATTTTATTCTCCATTCTCTATATTTGGAGAGTAAAATAGAGAATGAGCACTCCAACCAACCTCCAAATCACCCTCTATTCTTCAAATTTAGAGAGGTGAATAGTAATACTACTCACACTCTCTACTTCACTTTTTTATTATTTTATTATTATTTCTATTTACTTTCTAATTAACATACTATTTTACATATAATTCCATTAATTAAATATCTAATATTCATAATTCTTTTTTAAATGTAATATAATATTTAATATATACTATTTTAATTTCAAATTAATAGTATTTTATTTATTTTTCTAATTTTCGTGAATAATAAAATTTTATTTTACTATTAATTTTAATTATAAAGAATACGCAAAATTAAAATGGCAAGATGAAAAAAATTAATTTAAAAATACAATACATGATATGATAATTTAAATACAAGATAACAATATAATACATAACATAATAATTTAAATACAAGATAACAATACAACACATAACACAATAATTTAAATACAAGTTAACAATACAATATAATACATAACATAATAATTTAAATACAAGATAAAATACAATACATAATTGATCACAACAATAATTTAAAAATGTAATCTTCATATTCACCATTAGATGGATTTCATCTTATTATAAATGGTTGGATGAGATTCTCTTCAGTTCATTTAATATTTTTTAGATAAAACATTACATATTATGTAATGAACACCATTTACCACTTGAAGTCTGCACATTCATTTCATTTCAAAACATATTCAAGTAATTTGGTCTGTCCTTTGAAAATGAATTTCAATCTTGGAGATTGTTCTAATAATAATGATGAAGATTTTTCTTCTTCGTCATCATTTTCGTTAGATTTGAAATTTTTTCCTAGTACAGAACATCATGATAATTTAATAAATTAGCTACGTATGAACAACTACATGTTCCAACAAGTTCTACAAAATCATACTAATGAAGTTTTCATAGGTGGCTCCATTCCAGGTCATTTGGTAATCAATCGTGATCGTGAGGCGGCTGATGATAATTTATTTCGTGATTATTTTTCAGTCACACCACGCTTTAATGATGCAATATTTCGCCATCGTAATCGAATGTCCCGTAATTTGTTTCTTCGTATCGTTGATTAAATTAAAGATCACGATACGTACTTCAAACAACGCATTGATGTGCTGGGTAGATTTGGATTATCTACTTTGCAAAAAATTACCGTTGTGTTTAGAATGTTGGCATTAAAGATCACGACACACACTACATGATATAATGACTACATGTATTATATTGCACAACATGATAATTGAGGATGAACGTGATCTCAATGCACTAATTCAAGATGCCGTAGAGGCTCCAACTCCAACTATAGAAATGGTGATAGATGAAAATCTCCGATTTGAACAATTTTTATCTAGACATAAAAAAATTAAGGACAAAAAATACTCATTTTGAACTCCGTAATGCATTAATAGAGCATTTATGGGAGCAACGTAATAATTTTGAAAATTGAGTGTTTATGTAATTGTATGTCACTTTTATTTGAATTTGTCCCTTAATTTATGTATTATATTATATTTTCTTGCAAGTTATGTTATTTAAAATTTTAGAATAAAATATAATTTCATATCACATTAAAAATTATATAAAGTAATTATTTGGGAAAAAAAGAAATAAAGGATTTATATTATGAAATATGAAAATAAGAATGAAATATAAATAATAATATAATATTGAGGAGAGAGAAAAAAATTCTTTTTTAGAGAGTAAAATAGAGAATTATGTTGGAGTTGGTTGTCTGAAAAAATTGAGAGCTCCATATTTGGAGAGTAAAATAAAGGATTGGGTTGGAGATGCCCTTAGACTATATATTCTTTCTCTTGAATTTTAGGCAATGCCTATTTTGTCCTTTTAGTTATTCATCTTTGTCATTTTTTTGTGCTTCGGCAATCACATTATCTTTTTTGCTAACCCATCGATGACTCCCTAAAGTTGGCACCAACTTTCACTTAGACACTTTAATTGAGCGTCGTTCATTTTAGACACCTTATGTCATGTCTCATTGTGTCATTTTGACACTTTTTTAACAATCAACAAAAATTACAAAATATGTGTTATACACTCGCGGATGACATAGCATGATGACAACTTAAGAGAAGACATGTGTCAATTTGGTTTTAAAAAAATAAAAAATTAATTATAAGAAGAAGAAAGAAAAACTATTTAAACATATAAATATTTCACTAAAAAAAAGATTTCATTTTCTATTCGGTCATTTCAATCTCATATCTAATTTTTCTCGTCGGTTCCATCGGAAAAATTGAGGAGACTTAGATCCAAATTTTTTTCAATGACTTCTCATATTTTCTTTTATAACTAATAATTCTAATTCTAAATAAGATATGTTTTGGTGGAAGAGAGGGAAAGAGAGAGAGATAGTAACACAAATGGTGGACCTTCATCTTTTTCGGGGTGGTGATGTTATTTTTTAGATCTATTTTTTTTTTAAAAATAGTTTTTGTAAATTAGTTCAATCAGTTTATTACTCTTTTTAAATAATTTTCAATGAGTGTATGATTCTTTGTATTTTACTCAAAATCAATACATAATGGTGGTGGAAGGTGAACGAGAAAGATGGAAGAAGACGAAGAGAAAAAAAATATATTTTTTTTAAAATAAAGTTTTTCACGCGCTTAAAATCAGTGCGACACACGCACTTTGTCAATTCAATAAAAAAGTGTCAAAATGATACGGCGAGGCATGACATGAGGTGTCTAAGTGAAAGTTTGTGTCAACTTTAAGGGGTCACCGATGAGTTCAGCCTTATTTTTTTTGTTATTGTTTCTTTTTGCATGAATGTTATGTAATGGTTTATGTATCATTTATTATGACTTCTTTACTTTTGTATTTTCATTTACAAACTACTCCATCTGTCCCTATTTACTTGTCCACTTTTCCTTTTATAATTGTCTCTAATTACTTATCTATTTTGACAAATCAAGAAAAGACAAAAAAAAATCCTATTATACCCTCAATTAATTACTTTGAAAAAGGTATAACTTTTTGAAAATATTGAATTTTTAATTCATCCATTTCATAATTAATATGGATAAATGGTAAACTCACTATGTCAATAATTGTTTTCTTAATAGGTGTATCAATTCAAAAGTGGACAAGTAATTAAAGACAAAGAGAGTATTTTGATATGCATTACTGGGAATCAAGTGTCCTTCAGAATCAATCAATCTATTACGACTCTATCCTCTCTATTGTACTCTACTTTTCTTGTTGATTTATCATTCAAATTGTTGATGTGATATTATATAATAATAAAAAATCATACAATTTATTTAAATATTGTATTCATCAAATAAATACAATATAATATAATACGATGAAACGTTGACAATAACAACCATCCAAACAAGTTGTTGAACTATTTTAAGCCTCTCTGGGTGATGGTAATGTGCTGCGATATTTTAGAAAAAATGTGTTATATATTGAGGGAACATATATAATCGTTGGTTAGTTTATTAGAATATCACATAAATAATACATTTAAGATCCTAAATTAATATAAACATATGCTTTTTGCCCATAATTTATTTCCCTTTTCTATTAGGGATCATGTGGGATAGGCTGTCACTTTATAATTGACTACTTACTTGTCAATGAAATATAATTTGGATGATTTAGTTATAAAATAGTCTCTCTCTATATATATATAGTTTTTGAATATTTAAGTATAGTATACATATACAGTATATATAATATACATAATTTATATAGATTTTGTATAATTCGATCATATTAATGAATAATTTGACTGAACTGTACATAAGGGTGTACATGACCGGGTTGGTTTGGGTTTTTCAAATATCAAACCAAACCATTTGTGTCGGATTTTTAAATCTATAAACCAAACCAAACCAACAAAATTTGAGTTTTTTCAACCTCAGGTTTTTCGGATTTTCGGATTTTTTCGGGTTTTCCGATAAAGTATTCATACAAACATATAATTTACTTGTACTTCAAAATTTCTTTAGTCCTACCAAAATACAACTATCTAAGGTATTTCTTAAGAAAATAACACAAAATATGATATGAGTAATGACACTAAAATATCCAACAAAATAATAATAATAATGAAATCGCGTAAAACAAATATTACAAATTAACAAGTCATAATGAAAATGATCATAATTTAAAAGTACTAAATCATGCAAAAATAAGTTTAATAAGTATTAGTAACATGACTAAATATTAAAGGAAATTAAAATTAGATTATGTATTTGAATTGTCTAAACCAATGTAAAACCAAAGAACAAATATTCAATATTATTGTCATTCTTAGTGTTGAATTGATTTTCTTTTTGTATTAGTATTAATTTGATTTTGATTTAAGCTTTATTATAAGGGAAAAGGGTCTGATATACCCCTCAACTTTGTCATTTAGAACTGATATACCCCTGGTTATGAAAGTGGCTCATATATACCCCTACTTTTCTAACGAAAATGAAAAAAATTAATTTTAGTTTAAATTTTTTTTATTTTTTTTAAAAAAACTATAATCCCATATGGGTATAT